TCTACAAACTTGCTCTTCTTGGCCACCATTCTCTGCGGGCGCTCTTTCTGATCAAGGCCTCGGTTCGAAGACTGGCCAAATGAATGCCACCATAAGAGGAAGAGGTCTGGTGTAAGGTTCTCCCAAGTCCGATTTGTCTAGTCTGCCCCAAACGAGAAAATTGGTGGCCAATGAAAATCCAGTAGGCACTCCCGCCCCTGAATCAACCAAAGGGATGAGCCCCATTGGTGAAGCGCGAATCCTGGAAGCTTGTGGGATGGGCTATTGGGGGGCCCCATGCCGGGGAAAATAGAAATGGAATTCCAGGGGTCACCCACCTCCCCCAATTCCATTCTTATCGGGGCGGGGATAGGCCGCCGAGCCGACTGCAAACTTCGCCTCCCTATGATTCATCTGGACATGGAACCTGGAGCTTCCCATGGGTCCAAGGATCAGTTGGAAAGGTTTGCACCCATCTAACGTGGAACCTGGGAGGGACCCGGAATGGTCCAAACCAGCCCCCAAAGGTTCCATGTTCACTGGTGGGAGGGTAGCACACCTTGACGCGTCGATATGCCGCTTTCATACGAGGATCTTGACTGGAAATACCTGATGGTATGGGATAACTCGCCACTTGACGTAATCCCACCGTGCGATTTGCTTCCTCAAAAGCCCTGGAAACAAAGGACTAACACTGGGAAACACTGGAGGTCAACTAGAAATATGCTAGAACCATCCTCACATACAAGCGCTGGAAACATGCCACACATGTGCTGGAAGTGTGCTCAGCTCATAGTAGGCTCATTAATATGTGAAGCAAACGCCACACATGATGTAAGCAATGTGGGGCAGTTAGACATGTAGACATTTGCTAGGCCAAAGCCTAGACATACTGTGGACATGCATTGGACCGCGCTAGAACAGCAATGCAACCGCGCGTGAGAACAACAATGCAATGTCCAGGCATCTTATATGAGTAATATAATTACTAGACACATGCTAGATATATTGCATGGGACTATGCTCAGCATCCGGTAGTCCGGTAGGCCCAAGCTGAGAAACTCCGTATGCACAAGGACGGAGAGTAGCTTGAGCTATCAAAACCTAAAGATGGCACAAACCCGTGCATTCTGGCAGCTTTCCAAGAAAACAAGCCCGGATCAGGACAAATGCCCGGGGAGCCCAAGGAGGCAGATTTTCGGCCTCTGGCAACAAGAGACACTAGAGGACACCAAGCCAATCGTGGCAATCGGCAACCAGTAGGCTCGAAGCACTGGATAACTCGCTTGAGCAGATTGGCCAAAAAAGTCCAATTGTTGCAATATCAAAATGGCGAGAGGGTGTGGAGGCTAGGGGGCCGCTTCCCATTGTATGAAAACCACACCACCAATTGCAACCCCAAATCAAGCCGAGTATCTCACCACCCCATGGCTCCCTGGGTTACCCACATTACCTTGGCCCTCAGGCGGACGAAATATATGTTTATCTAAAATTGATGATGTGCTGGATTTACTAAAGTGAAATAGTTCTGGAGGAGACCCCTGACAAAAAGGCAAGTCCGACCGTCCCATTCATCCAAAGATGCCCTGGTCTCGAAGTCCATAGCCTGAGGCGGGGCGATATAACGGGTACGGTAGCGGACACCGTCAAACCGATATCCAAATGGGTATGGTGTCAAACTAGGCAAACCTCCCAAAATTGTAGCGTTTCTTTTATGTTGACCCCGGATCTGAGTAGACCCCGTCCTGCGAATAGGGGGAGCACAAGAACTCAAGCAGGGGTTGAGTAATCCCTTTAAAACCACCCCAACGGTACCTTCAACCAAAAACACACCAGTTCGGATCCGCGATTCAAACACTCCAAAACTTCGCTACATCCGAATCGGTGAGCTCGCCTTTCCGCACAAATTTGCCGCCTATCTGGCGCCGTGGGCGAAGGGTCATTCCAAGAGGTGGACCAGGGCCCCCAGTTTTGCGCAGTCCCAAAGGGGTGTTGGAGCTGGAAGGCCAGGGGCTGCCAAATGCCTTTGTTCGCAGTCCAAATGCCTTTTGTTTGGAGCAGTTCAGCTTCCATAGGGCATCTACCCTCCAGGCTTCAGTCATTGGTCGAGGACGCCGATCCCTGAAAATTAAGGCTGTCCGAAAGCGAAAGGCCGCTTGCATGACACCCACAGGAGGCCCTGAATTCCCATATTGTCCCAATTTTCTTCAAAGGGATATGGAGCTACAAATGGAACTGATGAAAATGACCCCTTTTCCATCCCTTTTGATCCCCATCGTTTACGCACCGAAGCATATCCACAGACATCAAGTCAGCCGGGACGAGGCAGCGGCATCTCGAAAAACTGCCCGGCTTGTTATTTTGCAAGTCGCTCCTTCAGCTTGTCACATTTGCATCTGCTGGTTCGATAGGAAAACCCATGGCCCATGGCCTATGGCTTCCGAATCATTCCCAAGACCCGGAAGGTCATATATCTCGCCGGTCAGCAGGCAATGAGTTGCAATGACCCCAAAAAAGCCATCCCACACATGGTTTTCTTTATATAAAGAAGGGAACGAAATAATCTCCCCAAAACCATGCTTCAAGACATTAAGACAGCGGCGAAGGCGTCCATGTATGGTTGGGACTATCCCTTAACCTTCATCGACCCGAATCGGTGTTGAGCACGTGGCTCAGTTGTGTCTGATCACAACCGGGGGACCTTTCCGCATCTGGCTGTGACTAACCCCGTCACAGGATGCGGGTGCATCGGCTCGAACGCCAGGTAGCAATGCCGCATGCCCCCTTTGGTGAAGGGATTCCTCCTGATGAAAACGGTGGTCTCCTCACTCCTCAGCACAGTGCCAGCAAAACTGCACTCAAGGTACGCTAAGCGCGCTCTTGGCCCTAGCTTCTCCACTCATGGAAAACCAGTTGCTTGACAAAGCCCCAGTTAGGGAACACCCCCTATTCCGCCACAATCAAGCCCTTTCAAACACAAGCCCCCGGTAGGCTGGAAAGCCCAACTCTGCGCAGTCCCGCTGCGGTCAGGGCACTTCTGGTGAAAATTGCCTCAGTGCAGACTGGCTTCCGGAAGCTCACGCTTGAAAACCGAAAGAACAAATCGACTGTCCCAGGTCATGAGGTTACCTTCTGCTTAGGAGGCATCCTTTTGGCATGGTCTTGAAAGGAAACCTAAAGGAAACCACAACTTGGGCAGAGGGTGCATTTGGTTTGTGGAGGTTGTGTACGCCTTTTGCAGCTGGGTGGCACCCCTTCTTAGTCAGGCAGATTACTGATCCTCTTACTCACTCGTAAATCCCGCATTGAGCAGCAAAAGAGCTATATCTGATGTCTCTAAGTGATGCCTTTCGAATGAGAAGCAGTGAGAAGCAAGACAAACCCCATCGAAGCAGTTGCGTCCGCTTCGGGAGCATGCGCACGCAACACGCTGAGACGTTAAGCAGCAAACTAATTGGAGAAGCCAAGGCGTTGCGGTTGCCCCGTATTTCTCCACTTATCCGTTGAGTGATTCCATCGAATCACGTTTAGTACATGGGCAAGCGCCTCAAAGAAAACACCGCGAAATAATGATTCACACCGCATACAGGCTGCCGCAACCTTTGGCTCCACCCCTGCGTTGTTTGATTATATTATAGCAGTTCTCTTGGCCACTGGCATGGCAAACCAGAAACCTTTGCACGAGGGCCTGTTCCTTGGACGAGCTCGTTCTGAGGTTTAAAAACTGTGGCCCAACCAAAAATAGGGGCCCAAATGAAACTCTGGCAAGAGTAGACCTAAATGGACCCTGGTAAACGGAAACAAAGACTAAAACCTGCGGTTTTGACCCATACCCACATAATCACGTCCAGGCAGTGAGTTTAACGGGTCGCTACTGGCAAAGGGCAGATTTGGTCTTAGCACTGTCGGCAGGGCAAAATTCTGGCTCTCGGAATGGTTTCCAAGGTCTCCCCCCACATCACCCAGCCAAAAACGGCTACACCGTGCTTGTCCGTGGCAGCTCCATGGGGCTTGGCACACACACGCTTGCCGCGTACCCCGCATGCCATTTCCTCCATGAAAGCCACCAGAACTCCGTGCTCAAGTTGCTTTCAGTTATTTACAAGGATGCATGCAAGGTGAGTGGCGCATTCGCCAACCTGAATCAGGAATCCCCAAGTAGCAGGAGAGATCTCTATGAGCACATCCCAATTAATTTACGGCTTGACAAGTGGCAGCCATCGAACTCGTAGAAGATCCGATGCGCCTGACAGGTACATTACCAAAAAAATGCAGCTGTGCAGAAGCCAGGCCGTCCTTGCATTGTCAAGGGCTGTGCCCTTGAACAAAGAAAGGGGCCTATTGAGCCACTTAGGCCAACTTGGTCCCTATTGGGCGCAAAAATTGGGCGCATCACAGGATGTTGGGAGTCAGCCGTACTAATCAACCACCGTCTCAAATCCACCTCGTCCCCCCGTAAAACACAACATCCCGTCATCCTGCAGTACTGCGGGAAGTCACATGTCAAATCGCCCTCATGAGGACTCCTGACCACGAATCACATGTTCGGGACCTTAGAGGACATTGACCCAAAAATTGGGGAAGCCTAAATGAGAAGTTAACATGGGAGATCCGGTGAATTGATCTGCTGACTGCTGTTGCACGTTGTTTGGGTTTCTTTCAGACCCCGGCCACGGGTTTAGTGGAGCTGCTTGGTGCTTGGGTCGACCCGGAACCACGGGCCAACCGGGGTGGCGGTCTCCTCCCTGCGAATTAACAAGGTTTTGGCGCCGTTTCGACCACTTCACTCGCCCTCCCACCCGCGGAATTGCTGCAAGGCTGAAGTGATGGTGGCCCAAATTAATCAGATGGGAAGCGTCCCTGGGTTTAGCAGGGGATCAGCACTGTTGGACGGGCTCATGATAATCCAATGTCAAGATTGGGGAACAAAATTTGGAGGGGAACGGCCCCCTAATAGGACGGGCTCATGATAATCTAATGTCAAGATTGGGGTAAAATTCGAAAAAGAAGAAGACCGACTCCTAGGGGCCCTGGTCCAAGCCGACCCCATGTGCCTTGAGCTCGCGCTTTCCCATGTCTGACTCGTCGAGGTCGAAGATCACGTTCCGCAGCTCGAAGGTCACATTGCGCTCCACGCGATCCTCGCGGAAACGCAAGGGGAGAGGTCTGCTGGCACCTCTGGAATTTCCTCTCAGATGCCCAAGGGACCCAGAAATAAGTTGTTAAACCTTTTGGGGCCATGACCGAATATTAATCAAAAAGAGGAAACCAAAAGATCAAAAAGTCGACTTGCTGTGGGCAAGCCCAAGCTGGCCAGTCCAACGTGACTCAAACCAGGGAAAACAACTTAAATCAGCAAATTTTACCATATGGGTGTGGCTCAAAATTGAAGTTTCGCAAGTTTTGGTCCATGTTTCCACTTGCCAGGGTTCCATTTTGGTACCGGTTTTTTGATCCCCAGCCATATGTCCAAGACCTGAAATAATAGATTCCCAAGTAAAGGATCTTTACCAGAGTGAGTTCATTCTACCCCCGGGTGAGCTCGCCATGAATTATGCAGCTTGAATGCAACCCCGCGTCGGACGCGACAAGGCGCCATGGGCCAAATCACCGGGCTTGGGGGATGTTGGCATGGGCCCTACCCCGCCTTCTGGCTTCAGCCCGCGTTGCACGCGCTTCACTATACCAAGGGATCAACGCAGGTGATTACACTCACTCACTCGCAAAGGACCTTGAAATAGAAGGCTAACCTTTTGAACCTTGACTACATGTGGACCAAAATAGACAAAGCAAAGGGGCAACAGGTCGGTTGTGAACAACTGAGCTCATTCACACTGTGTCGAGCCATCATGGCAAGCGAGCCGGGGACCATGCTCGGCTTTCGCCATGAGAAAGGGCCCCGCCTTTTTCTTCCGCTTCTTCTTGTCCTTTGGGTCATCTGCCGAGGGTTCCTGGGCAAGGCGATGGCATGTTTCTGGGAAAGTGACATCCTGAAACCTACTACCCTCTAAATGGTTGCTTAAACAGAAGCAAACCTCTAAAGTCGTTTTGAGACGCTTCCGGGATGAATGTTTGCAAACTTACTTCAAAGGGCGCGATTCGCACTATGCCGATAGGCTCTAGGCAGCAAGCACTGTCTTCATGGTGCCTCCAACTAGCCTTGGAACTTTGATACATAACCTAAATATCCATTTACAGCTCGATGAGTTTACCCCCGTCATGTTTACAAAGGCAGTGTCATCATGAAGAAAACTAGACCTTTCTCATTGAAACCAATTCTATATAAGAACCAACAAAATGGGAAGGGCTGTCCTTGTGATTAAGGATTGACCATTCACGCAGTATTAGGTTTGGGTAATGGCCTGGGATTTTCAAGAGGCCCCTCCACAGAGGTTTTTTTTTTGGGGGGGGCCCATCAAGAAGGGTCCCTCACCTCTGATTCGTACTCCAAAATGAAGCGGAGGTGAAGAATCCGGTATATCCTCTTTGGGTGTCTCTTTTTTGTGGGGGAATCCTCTTTTGGTTGGTTTTCAAAAGGGAAACCTAAAGGAAAGCAACCGTGTTGGGGGGGTCTAACCTTAGAACAATACACGACCTTTTGGGTTTGTCTTTGAGGCTGGGTGACTGGGGGCCCAGGATTCACAGAGCAGGTGAGTTTTAGGGGGTGCCCAATTTAGAGGGGATTCTTTCACTTCCAAATAAAACTGAAAAACCGAGGACAAGAAGCGAACATGTCAAAAACGGAGTGTGTCTTTCTTTGAGGTTGGTTTAAAGGCCAAACACCAGGAACACCGCCATTTTGTTTGGGTACCCCCATGTCTCAAGACACACCCAACAAGTCCGTCGTAGCCCCCGAGCTCCATCCGAGCATCGGCTTCCTCCTCAGCCTGCGACCGGTCTTCTTGCCGGCTTCTCGTCCGAGAGCTGGCGATGGTGCTGGACACCTGGGCCGAACCGATACAGGATGACGACTGGCCTCAAGTCAGGGCCTTCATGGCTGAGGGTTTGCAGATTCCAAGGAGCCATGGTCAAACAGGTGTTTGTTGAGCGGTTTCCAGGTTTGCGCTGGACTTCCGGCCTGAGCATATTGTGGCAGCCCATGGTTCATTTGAGAGCCAGAAGGGGTGGCGGACTTCTGTGACTTGCTCAAGCTTGTGTTTTCTAGCGATGAATGACATATCTGTAGAAGTACGTGTAATTTGGAAGGCAGGGTCCCTAAACATGCGACCGGTTCCCTACATGTCCCCCACAAGGACTCTCACTGCAATTTGGAACCCAAACAACCACATTGCTACAGAACTCCGATCGGTAGCTCCAGAACCGCTCCCTCTTTTTTGGGATACCTTCCATTTGCTTCAACCCCCTGGGAAAAAGTCACATATTTCCGGGTAGCGATTGATTCCCTTTAAGACCAACGGGGGAAAATACAAACATATTCCTTGCAGCAAACGGGATAGCTACCCCCAGCCGCGCTCCCTTCCGCGAGCACCCAAAACCCGGCAGCCCAAGGCGCCGCCCGAAAGGCGCCGCGCAGGGAGGTGACGCTGGTGGAGGCGCGGTGGAAGTGGCCGTTGCCAACCTCAGAAAGCCAAACGGGCTGAGACAGCCCTGAAAAGAGTTGTCGCTTTGGGATGAAAAGGGACAGGAAAACTCAAGCGGCAGAGAAAACAAATGCAAAGTCCGGCAATGCAATCATGAGAGTGGGCAGCCAGCTGCACCTTATCAATTCTGAAGCCTTCCAACACCTCCATGGTTGGAAAGAGGGAAGTAAACCCTTGGTTTGTTTGTGTGGACGTGTTCAATTCTCACACCTCCCTGGTATCCCGATCCCTTTAGCCTCTCACCAAGAATCGCCCACGTCTCTCAAGATCTCACCTTCCTGTTTCTCAGTGTGAAAAGGGAAACCCGTTGCCCTTTGTAGCGCCACCCGCACAAGCGATCCCTTTCTAAAAGCCTCCCCAACCCGCACAAGCGGTGGGTCGAAATTCATTTACATGGAAAAAGATCGAAATGGGTATCTTGTTTGGCCATTTGAGGCTTCTCAAGAAACACTGAAAGGAAACCCACCGAACTCTTGCCATTCACCAACTTGCAAACAGACTCAGGCTGCGAGTGCCACTTCTACCTTCAAAGGCCGACCACCTTTCACACACGTCACTACTGTCTTGTTTCAGCGTCAAACGGCAGTAGCCGTTTAAGCCAAGCATCACTGACGGAAGCATTTCGTCTGAAAACTGGGAATTCAACGAGGGCTGCGCCTTGCGTTCTCCCCCTTGTAAACCACTTTCTTATGCAGGGATCCGGCCGCTTGGGACTCAGGGAAGACGCAGCTTTGCGGCCAAGGCCTGCTGAAACGCGCATTTTCGCCACTCGCCGTCGCTTGCCGCCAAAAGGCCCTTGCAAGTGCCAGTGACGAACTTACAATCACGCTCGCGCGAATTTAGCGCCAACGTGAGAGGAGCAAAAAGGCATGATTGAGCAGTGCCCTCATCTTGCCGAACCGTCACGCATAAGGCAATGCAAAAGTCACGCAACAATATAATATAACGGCCGAAACAAGTTGAACGGAGTCCTTTCACACTAAGAAACGTAAACTTAGTCATCATTGGGGTGGGGTGCAAACTAGCAACAACTGTTGTGCCCCACCGGCCTCTATGATCTTCCACTTGGTAAGTCCACTGGAAAGATATATTTCCTGCAGTGATAGATGCCCTTTGGCCCACCAACAGGGGAAAGCAACAAATAGTCTTAAGCAACTGGTGGTACCACCGGTTCTGGGAGATTGCGAGCCCGCCGGCCAGCTCAATGGGCCTGGCAGATGCGACTGCACCGGCAGCCGCCGAAGCAGTCGCCGCCCAAAAAGGGTGGGTTGGGGGTTTGGCCTTTGAGCACTATACCAAAAGAGGAGTGGCCCGGGCTCAAACAGTCCGCAGAAATGGAAAAAGCGCGCCCTTGTGTGGCTGGCTGCCTCATTCAAGTAGGACGTGTCCCCTCCTGTTGGTTTCCCTCAAGCTTGTTGAACCAGCCGAAAAGGGTGTCCTTGTGGGACCCCCACGCAACAATAAACTCAATTCTTGCCGGTGAACAGGAAACTCATGAAACCCAAAGCGAGCGAAGTGTCGCATAATATCAATTGCCGTTGGTTTGGGGACATCATGAAATATCCTTCTAGGCCTTATCAGGCCATCGAAGGCCCTTTCAAGCAGCATGCATTCAACGAAAAAGGCGGGGCAGTTTCTGACAGCAATGAAGCTCTGCTTGATTTTGACCAAGAGTTCCACCCATGTCGGAAACGTCAATTGGCACGTAGGGGGAAGGGAGGGGCCGAAAAAATGTGATCCCCGCTTGGGTTGCTCAAACTGTCAGCCAAAAGAAACCATTCTTTCGGACATGACATCAGCCCCAGAAACTGACTGACCTGCCGTTTGGGGAGGTTCAATTCCTACGAGTAGTAAAGCATTCACCCCAGCCTCAGGCGCAGGGCAGCCGCGACCCTCGGCATCCATGAACCGCTTCGCGAAGATGTGCCTCACAGATTCAGCATCCCTTGTGTTAATCAGGCAGTTTGGAGATTGGCCTCCCATTGACCCCCAAGAACCAAAGAGCTCAAATCCCCACACCACTTCCAAACCACCGATTCAGGGTAACTTGACAGATTTGGAAAGAGTCTCACAAGGCTTCCTCTTCTCGATCAGCAGCTCTCTCCCGGAGAATGTTATGTTCCAGTGCGAAACATGTTCTTGATGGCTTGTGGCGGGTTTACGTGCAATATGTGGTTTTCTCCGAATCAGGGTGCCCCGATACTTCATGTTGTCTTGCCACGAAAGAAATCTACAAATCAGCCAGGAGAAGCCCGGGAGTTGTGAAAACCCGTGACTTGTTGCTTGCCCTTTGACTAGTTGAGTTGCAACCCCCTGTTTGGATTGAAAAAGGCCGCGGTCCGCCCAGCCGAGCGAAAAACTCGACTCAACAAGCCCGGCCAAAAGGTGAACATCTCGTCCGGCGCGGTGTCCATGAGGAA